AGAGCAGTGAATGGCGTTTTATTTGGAAGTACAAGAAAATGATCATAAAATAATTTTCTTTATTCTACGACGGCAAAAAATGATAATGAAAGATATGAAAGTCATTAAAATCTTTTCTATTCTGCAAACTGGTTCATGGGATCTCTATTGGTTTTCGATACCGGTCAAGAGCAACTAGTTAGAGAGAATACCTAGTTTAATCCAAATTATAAAATTTTTTATTGAAAATAAAATATTTGACAGGATGATATGATATAAAAAAATAATAATAATTTAAAATTAATAAAATTATATATAAATTTAATAAAAATAAAATATATATTTTATTTTAATTTATCAATATAAATTATAATATAATACTTTTATATTTTACACATATTTAATATAAAATAAATTCATCACATGTACCCAAATGATAGATCTAAAATTTTTTAATGATTCAAACCTAATTAATTTTGTCAGGGAATGAATGATTTTGACTGCAAATATCTAGCTTTTAGAGTCATACATCTACGGCGCGCGCTAATTTTATTCACATGGCGGATCATATCAGTTCCATAACCCTATAAATAAGGTCTGCTCTCGATGAAGCCTTCACAAAATCATCATTTCAAAGATGAAATCTCTTCACTATTCAATGTTTCCATTTCTTTTTGTTGCTCTCTTCTCGTTGTCATGGGCAACGTCTTCAGCTAACACCCATGAGGATTTCCTTCGTTGCCTTTCTTCACTTCATCCTGAGGACTCATCTTCCATTTCTAAAGTTATATACACTCAAACCAATTCATCATACTCATCTGTTTTGGAGTCTTTAATTCATAATTCTAGATTCCTTACGCCAACTACCCTCAAGCCTTTGGTTATTGTAACACCACTGAATATCTCCCATGTTCAAGCAACAATCCATTGTTCAAAGAAACATGGGCTCCAAATTAGAACTCGAAGTGGTGGTCATGATTTTGAAGGTCTTTCTTATGTCTCTGAAGTTCCATTTGTCATCGTTGATTTGTTTAATTTTCGATCAATCGATGTTGATGTAGAAAATAAAGTGGCATGGGTTCAATCAGGTGCAATTATGGGAGAATTATATTATAAACTTGCTGAAAAGAGCAGAACTCTTGCCTTTCCAGGTGCTCTTGGCCACTCTGTGGGGTTTGGGGGATTCATTAGCGGAGGAGGTTACGGCTTATTGTTTCGAAAATACGGTCTTGCAGCTGATAATATAATTGATGCACAATTTATTGATGTTAAAGGGAGAGTTCTTGACAGAAAATCAATGGGGGAAGATCTGTTTTGGGCCATTCGAGGAGGCGGAGGGGGAAGCTTTGGAATTGTCCTTTCATGGAAAATAAAGTTGGTTACTGTTCCAGCAACTGTGACTGCATTCTCCATAAGCAGGACCTTGGAACAAAATGCAACCAAACTTCTTCATCGTTGGCAATATGTTGCACACAAACTTCCAGATGATATATACCCCTCCATTACGATCGCAACGATGAACTCTAGTCAAGATGGGAAAAGGACGGTTGTAGCTACCTTTAGCTCCTTGTTTCTTGGTCAAACAAATGAGCTCATTCCATTGATGCAAAAAAGATTCCCTGAACTCGGACTGGTTAAAGAAGATTGCATTGAAATGAGTTTTGTCGAATCTATCATCTTCTTGGGCCTCCTTCCAAATCGAACCAATATTTTACTTGACAGGAGTTATAGAGTTTCTTTTCTTGTTGCTACTCCTTCCTTCAAATCAAAATCTGATTATGTGAAGAAACCATTTCCTGAAATTGCATTCCAGGGGATATGGAACCAACTTCTTGAGGAAGAAGCAACATCCGCTACCTTAAACTTTGTTGCTTACGGAGGTAAAATGGATCAAATCCCAGCGACTGCAATTCCATTCCCGCATAGAATCGGTAACTTGTACAAAATAAGTTACAACATACGATGGCGAGAAGAGGACAACATAAATTCTCAAACGTATATAAGCTGGATTCGGAAACTATACAGTTACATGAGTTCCTATGTTTCAAAATCTCCAAGAGCAGCGTATATTAATTACAGAGATCTTGACATCGGAATGAACAATATTGAGGGCAATACAAGTTATGCGCAAGCAAGTGTTTGGGGTCGTAAATATTTCAAGAAGAACTTTGACAGGTTGGTACGTGTTAAGACAATGATTGATCCAGAGAATTTCTTCAAGCATGAACAAAGTATCCCCCCTTTTTTTCCTTGAATAAAGAAGAAAGATCATATTATGAGTTGAATGTGTAACCTAGAATAAATTTGATGTCTGCAATTTGCTTTGCTTTGTTCTTGTAGTAGGTTTTGTCAAGAACGTAGTGTCAGCATTTGCCTCCATATGTCATTCAATATTATGATAAGCAATAAATACTATATATCATTTTCTTTTTATATCTAAGGAGATTACACAATGGAAGGCATCTCATAATACTCGTTATATTTTCATCTTAAATATAAACCCCCACCTCTTCAGGATGGAAAGTTGAGATCTCTAAATTGAAATACCAATTATCTATACTTAATACTTACTATATATATTAAAAAAAATCAAAATTACAAATATTGAAAGAAATATATATCATTTGATATTTCATCCTTTTTTTTTTCCCACCATTTGATATTTTATCCTTAATTAATGATTTTTTATTAAATTAAAATATTTGGCAAATTTATTTATTTATCAATATCGAAGTTCCTTAATTATGAAAGTAAACTTTACTTAGTTGCTAATTTTGTTTTTAAATTAAATATTGATTAATTTTTATGTATTTTTCTTTATTGGTTAAGAACTTATCACTAAAGTAAATTGTTCTTAATAAAATTTGAATTTAGCTACATAAAAAACTAGAATATTTATTCCATTAAATCATGAAAGAGTTCAAATAAATAATTTTTACGTATGTGTAACTAAGGATTCATGGTGCTGTTGTATCGAAATATTTTTCTTAAGTTAGATTAGATTTATAGTAAAGTTTTATCATCTTTTAGAATAGACAACTTATCAACATATAATTCATGGTTTAAGACATTAACAATTTTCTAACGGGATGCAAACATGGTTGAATACATAATTTATTTAATCGGGTATGCATTCTTTGTTATATGTAGGTTGTGTAATTTATTTGAGAAGTATTTGTTTTTTTATTTTAAATTTTGTTTTTATTAGCTGGAATTTTGTTTTTTCAACATTACTAGTTTACCACTATCATCTTTTGGATTAAAAATTTTTATTAATATTGAACTCCAAAATCTATGACTTATACCTAAGAATTTTGAAAAATAGATGATCAAATTCAATTGTTAGAATTACTAAAATAGCATTACTTCAAGTTCATATATATTTGTCATTCAATTTATCTAAATAAATTATATTAAATATTTTATATAAATTACATCAGCCAACCAAAAAAATCTCAACGAAATATGAAATATTTCGTAATTTTAAGCTTCAAATTACAATAAAATAAAAATTTATAGTTTTAATTTCATACTATAAAATATTAAAAACTTATTTTAATTACAATAAATTTGTTTCTTTATTATGGGTCAATATTATATTTTTTAATTGTAATTCAATTTCGTTAAATTTTGTAACTGTAATTTTAATTTTGCTGAATTTTTTACATAATGTGACAGAATTGATGAAAATTTATTATTTGTATTAAAAATAATTTTGTAAAATATTTCAATTTCATTTTTTTTTGTCCCAAAATCAATGAAATTGAAATTATGGTAGCAAAAATTGTCATTTGCATTAAACATTCCCTTAAACATGCTAATTTCATTTTTTTAAAAAAAATCAACAAAATTAAAATATGCTGATAAAATTAAATAAAATTGAATTATAGTGAAAAATTTTATATTGAGTCATAGTGTAGTAAAAATTTTCAACTTAATCCCACAAAATTATGACAATCAATTTATTTCGATATTCAAATTAATATTGAAGTTAGAAACATTTGTTATTTATGATAAAAATAACAAAAAAAAATCTATTAAAAATTTTTTTTGCCAAAATTTTTTTCCTTTCTTTATCTTTAGTTCCTGTAGTAGGCAACAGTCTGCTTTGGCTGCTATAATTGTTAAATTACATATTTCCAAGTTGGGAAAGGATATCTAATTGAAAGTCAGACTTTAATATTCCACGATTCAATCAAATTAAAAGTGTAGATATGATTGACTTCAGATAATCAGGTTGAATTCTGCATATTAAAAATAAATTAATAAATTCAAGTTCTAAGCAGTAGGATTTCCACAAATTAATCAAAATTGTCCACACTTTTTAACTTTTTTTCAAACAGCAATACTCCATTTAATTTTTTATTTAAAATTATTAAAATTTAATTTGATTCGAAAACTAAAAGTTATATTAACTGAAAAACATAAAATTACATATTTTTTATTTTAAAAATCTTGTTAATAGAAGTTTAAGCTAAATTGCTAATATTGAATGTTTAGAAGTAAATTGATAAAGTATTATACCAAGTTTTAAGTTGGAATCCATATTTTTTTTATTTTTTATGTGAATCAAGATCATTAGTATTTTCTTAAACCATCATTTTAAATATATAGATTATATCTTAAAATTTGAACGTAAATAATCTTTTATATTTAAATTTTTAATATTACTTACTTTTATCTATTTTTTATTATTCAATATTTTGTATTTAACATTGAATTATATATATATATACATTTTTTAATTTCTCTAACACTGTTACTGTATCATGGGGGCATCCAATAAGAATTTGTTTTAAATTTTTTAGAAAAAATACATAAAAACTTCTAGAAAAAACTTTAAAAAAATTATCCAGAGGTTTTAGTCAAATCTAGCCTTTTCCATTCAACAAAGTATGTCACTATTGATACGGTTTTCCAAAATATAGACATTTTCAAAAAAAATTGATGTCAGTAATTAATGTAATGAAGTCCGACCTGACAGGATATATATTTTATTGAGACTTAACTAAGTTCATGGTTAATTTTTCTCTTGTATTTAAGCCAAATTCAATTGCAAATTAATATATATATATATATATATTACAATTACGAGTTTATAATTTTGAAAGAGTCAATTTTTTATATGGTCCAATTAAGGTAAATTTTTTTTGTATTGAATGGTTCAATTTCTTTATTAATATTAACAAATAATTAAATTTTTTTTCCGCATTAGTCATTTTGTTCAGTAGAGGTTAATATAATCCATTTACTCTTTTTGAATTCAAATTAATTTTCATGTTCTCCAAATCAAGAATAAATAAAAAAAGAATAGTGAAAGGAAATCCGCATTTTACGAATGTATTGACTTTTATATCCGTTGATTCAAACTTTTACATGAGGGAAACATCACCGCTTACGTGGATGAAAATTTTCATCAAGTCCTGTAGACAATGTATAGACTTTTGATGAAAATTTTTAATTTTGAAATTTCTTGTAGTCATGCTTGAAAAATTGAAATGCCACAATAAAACATTATTAATTGTTGAGACATTTACTTGGTAGTATGGCATACTAAATATTTATATTGATTGAAAGCATGACATATGGAGCATGATTTGAAATTTTTTTTAAAGTGCATAAAATGATAATGGGCATTCTAAGTTTTAACTTTTAGTGATCCATAAAGGTACATTTATATTAATATCTCACTTGGAGTGATCACATGTATAAATAAAACTAAGAAAATCAGTAAAACCATAATGATTATAAAATTTCTTATGTTGTTATGAGATTATCTCTAAATTACTACATTTGATTACTTGCCCAAAGAGAGTGATTATATGTTTTTAATTTAGAGATAATTGTGAAATACTTTATGAAGTGAAAATATATATAGATCTAGGAAATTTATCTGCCTAAAAAGGATATATTTTAGAAAATCTTTATATTTTTCATTATTTTAAGGTGTGATGTGGCACTTCGATTATTTCGATAAGACTAGTAAGGATATTAACTTGATTAAAGTCTTATCTCCTTAGATCATTGATTGGCTTTTGTACTTAATTTCAATATGCTGAGAAAAATGTCATCATAAGTTAATGTCTGTCACTAGTGATAAGTTCTTTGATGTTTTGTACAACATAGTAAAAGTGTAAATTGTTAGTAACTTTAATTTATCACATCTAAATATATACAGTTATTGTATAGTATCTATAATAACTAAGAGGTTTAGGTTCCACATAAAAAGTTTTAGACCTGTTATGATATTTCAATTTGACTTAAGTAAAATTGAGAGTTGTTAAAATATAATTTAATAAATATTTGTTTTAGTAGTTTAACTCACAATTAAAATATTAGTTTGATTATCTTAGTTACTATTATCAAACCTAATAGTTATCAATTTTAAAGGGCATTTTGTTGTCATTTGTTGACAATTTATTTTTAAAAAAATTTTTTTTTTTTTTTAAGAAACTCACATGTGAAGGGGAGAATATTGTTTTACACTTATCACACGTATGAGAGTTTTGAGGAATGAAGTTTTATAAAAATAAGCAAAACTATATGTTTTGTTTTATTAGTTTAATTTCTTTCTTGATAATTTTCCCAAATTTTATTGATTTACTATTGAAAGAGGACAAGAATTTTATTATATATGAATTATATAAAGGTTTTGTTAATTTTCACTTCCCTTATTTTAAATTATATATGAACTAATTTTGAAAATTATTTAAAAGAATGATAATATAAAAGTTTTGATTTATTGTTATTGTCATCATTATTATTATTGTATTAATGCCAAAACTATTCTTTTAAAGAAAGTCAAAATCAGTGGGAGTTCATCTGCATATGTTTTAAACTAGTAAAATCTCATAAATGCCCTAAAGTTGATGTTTTGGAGATATTATATGTGTTAAGATCAGGGGGAGTTAATAGGCTATTGGTTTAGGCATGTTTTATGTATAAAAATTGGTAATTCAATGAATTCCAAGTTTATTAAAAATGATCTCATATTAAAATATTAAAAATTTTGTATTGTATAAACATATGAATATAAAAATTTGTTCATAATATGTTAGTAATTTGTAAGTGGTTTATTAAAGTGATATCATAGAAGTCCAAGAATAATAGTAGTTATCACATTTGGCATAAGGGTAAACAATACATAATTTTGTTATAACTCCATTTATGGAAGTGCTTCTTATTATTATTCAAAGTTTAATTAAAGCATGTTTGGGATTCATCGGATTAGTGGGAGTCATTGTAATTAGATAAAATGATGATATATTTTCTTTTTGTGAGGATTATGGTATTACCAAGTTCATAATATGTATATCTATAGGTATGAAAAATAAAACTTGTTAAGGTATTGAGTTAATTTTGGCAATGCTGCATTGTAAATTTGCTTTTGAAACCATTACTATTTTGGGTTTCTTTACTTTATTAAATGCATCGCATGTGATTACTAATTACCTATAAGATATAGTTTGAAATGAATAAGTTCACAAGAAACAATCAAGTTGAGTGGATACAATTATTATATATATATATATATA